TGATATCTCATACAGCTCTTCTAAATGCATTAAATACATTCTTAGTGAATCCACTTATTGTTGGTCAAAATGGATGTGATTGTGTAAAATAATAATGTTTTAATTTTTGCATAAAATCAAAACCATTCAGACATGTCGTTGATCGAGAAAAACTATTAAATAATGGTCGAAGAAGTTGATCAAGATAAGTAGCTAGAATATATATTGGACAATGACGATATGATGTTAATCTTGGTTGTACTGATATATGAACATCCTCATTGGTTTCTGGTAAGAAATAAAGATATGGAAGATTGATAGTTGATTTTTTATCAATATTCCATTGAGTTAAATGATCTCTATTAATTAATTTTCTTTCATATAATATTTCTAATTGAGAATTAATAGATAGAATAATTTCATTTAAATGTTGTTGTTCTGTATGAATTTCATCAATGGTTCCAATTAATTCATAGCATGTTGAATTTTGAATATAATCATTTGATTTCTCATTAAATTCATCCAATCGACCAAGATAATATGTATTCATATTATCAGCTGTTCGTCGTAGCATAAGTTGATCTTTTTTTAAGTAATATTGAATTGATTGAATGAGTTGTTTTTCATAGAGTGCACGTTCTTCAAGTATGGAAGGCATCGATTGAAGAAATGATTCATTGAATAATTGTTCAATTAATTTTTCAAAATTCATTCGACGAGATAGATCAACTGGATATTTAGTAAAAAGTTTAGTAAGTTCTCGTCGAAGTGGTGCCATTTGTTTTGTAATCATTTCAGCTAATGTTAATGAAGATTTTGATAAAATATGTATTTGACCTGGTGGAATATAAGTTGGTCCACGATTGAGAAATCTTATATGTTCTATAGATAAATGATGAGGTGCATCTTGAATTATTGTTGGTGAACAGGTGATATTGGATTTTTGAATGAAAATGCTCCGACGATCGATCCAATCTAATTCTTGACCATCGGAGCTTTGACGAAAAAACGTAATTTCAATTTATAAAGACATGTAAGACGTTCATTCATATTATTAAAACGTCTTTCTATAATATCTAACATTGTTTGAGTTAATTTGTAATCGGGTAGATCAGAATTTTGATTTCTTTTCATTTTAACCATGATAGCATCAAATTTCTTTTCATTTTCATTCATTTTTGCTTCGGCTGTTGCAATATAAACCATCATCATATCAGATTTTGTTTGTTGTAAAATTTTTTCATATCGATCTGTTAAACGTTGACGAAGAGATCGATCATCAATTGTATTTAATGATTTCGGTGCTGGTATTTGAAGTGTATCAAATGATAATGGTAAATGATTATAAGTAATACGTTGTTTCAATATAGCAACATCAAGTTTACTTGTTTCTTTTGCAGATTTCAATTGAAAAAGATCTTGAAAGATTATTGCTTGATATTCATTAGGATTTTCTTGATAATATTCCAATTGAAGTAAACGATCACTATAATCATATTCGACAGCAACCATTTGTCCTTCTTTAGGTAATTTATATACAGCTGTAACATATTGTTGAACAAATTTTGTGATTGCTTCTTCAATTTCAGATGTCCAAGAATTATTTAAACGTTGTTTTCGTTCTCTCAATTGAGTTTGACAATAGTTTGTTTGATTTTGAAATTTTTCTAGAACTCTATTAACATAACTCAGACAAGAATCTTGATCAATTTCATCTGGATTAGATGTGGTTGCTTCACCACAATCAATCATTCTCTGTTTAACTTCTATAGACCATAAAAAGAGTTTCGTTGTTGCTTGTGGTTTTAATGTACTTGTACCAGAACGTAAATAGGTAGTCCATAATGATCTATCTATATTGATACATTCAAGTTGATGAATAAGAACAGCAATCTCTCGTAATAATTCAATATTAATCGAATTGGCAGCCTTTTGAAGTAGAGGATTAATCATTTGTTCGAATGCTTTATTATTATTGGATAAATATTTTGGTATCATATCACTTGATTGGTCGCCTTCATTTGGTTTCATTTTTTTCGTTGTTGTTGCAGCTATTGTTGTAGTTGGTGTTAACGATGGTCGCTTTTTTACTGTTGATAATTTTGATTGATTATCATTCTCATTTTGTTGTTGATCTTTACCAGAAGCAGATAATTGACTTAATTTTTGAGAAAGATGTTCTTCTTCGACTATTAAATCAATCATCTTGTCCTTATCATCATTGAATTGTTCGATTTCAATTATATCTTCATTATTATCATTACCCATATTCATAAAAAAAGCATCAATATCAATATTGGAATCTTCCTTTCCATCGATATTATCATCATCATCATATTGATGAAAAACATCATCAAATCGATTAATATCTCCTTCAATCTATCATAGACAGACACAGATTAATATTTAATAAATATTATATTCATTTTTGAAAGGTAAACTTACATTTCGATATGATTGAGACATTGATGATTTTATATCAAAGATAACTTCTGTTAAAGCTTATATATATATATATCTAAAATTGTCAAGAGAATTAATATACAAAACTTTTATAAATGATTATGTTCTCATAGAATATATAATAAGAAAACAAACTTAATTCTGACAATCCGATGTGAAGAAAGTATTCATTTTGTTAGATTAGATTGCTATTCTAGAATAAAATAAATAAAAATTTAAGATTCCTTCCATCTTGTTTATAAAAAAGGATGAAACAAGACCATTTTTATTATGTTTATTATTTCATTTGTTTTTATCATTTCTTCAAATAGATATTTTACAATTTGTTCGTTGTTTGATAATAATGTATCATAATTTAACATGTGTCTGTTAGTGAACTGTTCAGATAAGCACAGAATCCACGCTATGTATTTCGTAGATATTACTAATCTGAAATAGAATAGTATATGATTATGATATTTAATAAAGTACATTCATCAACGTTTTATTTATTATAAGATTGATTATTTCACAAACATAATACGATACACGAAAGAGTACCTATTATCTAGAAAATGATTAATATTGTTTATATATTGAATAAATATCAATTTTGAATAGTGATTATGTCACTTTCATATGTTTATTGAATTCATGTTGTAGTTGCAATTGATGAATGATTCAAATTAACACACCAGATAAGATCATACGGATGACCATATTGTTTTTTAGCATCACCACCAATTGGACAAATCATATTCAATTTTGTTTCAGCATGAATAATGAATAATGTTTCAATGATATATCGTAATATAATTGAACAATCATCTGGTACTAGATCCATAGAAAAGAAAACGAGAGTGATGATGATGATGATATTGACTGATAAAAATCGATTTACTTACAAACAGCAATGATGGCCATATTATACAAGTCCAAAATGATATAGGGTCGTTGATGAATAGAAGAAGCAACAAATTGTTCGAAAAATAGACGTTGTTTTTGTAGTTGAGGATATGAGAAGGCATAGGCAGCTGGTGGTAATGGTACATGATCTAGATAATCAGCTACTCGACGATTGTCTACGGATGTAGTTGTCATCATGGCATGTAGATTGCTATCTGTTGTAGAAGCACCTGGAAAAAAAGCAACATTTTCTGCTAATGCTTCGTCCCAAAGTAATGGAATGAAACACCAATAAGCCGGATTGCAATCTAGAAATGTGCGAAGTGCTATTGGACATCGAGCTGAATGTTGATAGAGACGCATCTGATTGGTTACGACTGTCCTATAACAATGAGAAAAAACAAAGAAACAAACAAACAAACAAACAATATATGGACATCGTCGAAAGAATGATCCGATATCTTTCATTACTTGGTTTCGTTACGATCGATTTGTGATCCTCGAAATAGAGGACTACCCGTTAACATTTCATGTATAATTCGATTACCATGCTTTCGATGATCTATTTTCATAAGAAGAGAAATAAAGACATGCCAATAATTAACATAAAATCATTTATACTTACAAGCCATAGCATCAGCTAATGTTTTTGCTGTTGAATCAATATAATCATAGTGACCACATGGACATGTCATAGCATAGATTATATTTGATGTAGTACATGTCTAAAATTTAATGATAATCAATGGATATACAATTAAATATTGTATCATAACATACTGCTGGACAATTGAGATACGTCGTATAACCATTGACAAATTGATGCATTGAATTTGCAGAAAAATGAACAATTGATTGTGGTTGACTTTTCTTATAAGTATTAATTGGATGACAACATTGACAAAAAATATTGCTACATGGAATCAATCCATATCTTGCTCGAGGTTCATCTCCGCTACAAAATAGACCTTTAATGTCAGATTGAGGTTGAGCTCCTCGAAACGAACAAGTTTTCATATAGAATACATCCACTAAAGAATATGAAAGTATTTAAATGATAAATATATCTATATGAAGACGAACCATCAATTTGTAAATAGAATTCTAATGCTAAAGCCATTTGTTTCGAATTGAGTGTTGGTTCATTTAAAGGAACATCACTCTGAAATAGAATAGTTCGTCGAAATAATTCATGATATGCAAGAAGAGTATGACAAATTCCACGAAGTCGATCAGCATTGAACGTAATGATAGATTTGCCTACTTGTAATCGTGAAGCTAATTCTTCAGCATCTTGTTCAGATAAACTAAATTCATTAGAATAATTGTACTTGTTCATAATTATTAACGCATCTGAAGTAGAAGCTCCATATTGACGTCGAGTAATTGCATGTGATGCAAGATGACTAACTAAAAGACAACAAAATAAAACGATCTATGATTGAGATAGGTCGCAAAAACAAAACAACGAACCTGGTACATTAGCCAAAAGTAAATATTCATTTAAACCAGCATAGATTGTTGGAAATATAGGTAAATAAGCATATCGTCCATGATTATATTGTTGTAATGTTCTTGGTTGATATCCATGTCGTTCATAGCTAGTTAATGAAGATATGACTTGTTCAGTTCGATTTAAACCAATCGTATTCGAATCCATAGGCAATAGATAGATTTTTCTATTATTTTGTAACATGCTCAAGTTATGATATGTGTAGATGAGATTCAATCTGAAATAGAGAAGGATTTGAATGAGAACAAAAAAAAGATTATTTATTCGTAACTAAGTAGGGTGTGGGTGTGTAAAGCTACCATGATCGATTTCGACCTTGCTTAAGGGTCTTGTCAAATGGTTTTAACTCATCTGAATTCGAATGAATCCAAATTCGTAGAGAAATTTCATTGTTACTTCGAAAAGTAATAGAAAATTCATTTTACAGTAGGGTGTGGGTGTGGGTGTGTCAAATAACCACAATAAAATATTAAATATTTAGTATATTTATTTCGATTCTATTAAAGAATCATTATCAAGTGGCAACACGAATAAAGTTCTGATCGTAAGATCAAAAAACTAAATTCACGAAATAAAATTTTCAAGAAATAACTTGAAAACTAAAATTTCAAAGAGTGTGTCAAATAACCACAATAAATATATTCAGGAAAGTGTTTGTTTCGATTCTTTTTGAAAGAATTATTATGATTAGGTTCAAATGATGTACTACATCGATGAAAAAGAGAAATATTTTGTAAATGAATGATTGGAAATTTCTATATTACTACAGCGTGTTCTTTATTATCGAGGTTTAAACTAGAACGATATGGAACAGTTTGATGATAAAAAAGTGTTCGTGTTTTTTTTTTCAGAATTGAATCTTTTAGTCTTTGTTTTGGTTTGGATTTATAAGTTTTCTGGGAATCTTATCATTATTGTATGTTGCAAATGATTTTGAGCACGTCGAATCATATTTTGTTTACGATGATCAATTGCATCGATCACATTTTCGACTGTTGGTAATCTCTCGAATTTATCCTTTTGTGTGATAAGTTTCGTTTTTTCATCAATTGCAATTTGAGTATATGTTTGAATAGTTTTTTCAATTGTATTAACAACTTCGTCCATTGTTTCACATAGCATGTGTTTCGATGGATTTTCTTCGTTATTTTTTGTTGACATTATGTTCAATAGCACTTTGTTGGTAAGAGTTAGTGTAAAAATTTCATTCACTTTAGTTAGGCCTAATTCCATAAGATGAGGCATTGTCCTTGATGCTGGTGGAAGTGATATCCATTTCTTGAAAAGAGTAAGTTCATGTTGTAATAATTGCACATAATCGCTTCAGCAAAAACAATATGGAAGGCTACGGATTATGTGCAATTATTACAACATGAACTTACTCTTTTCAAGAAATGGATATCACTTCCACCAGCATCAAGGACAATGCCTCATCTTATGGAATTAGGCCTAACTAAAGTGAATGAAATTTTTACACNGTAAGTTCCACATTAACATATTTTGATAACTCTTACTATTTAGTACTAATAAATCCAGTTTTCGACGCTCTTTAATTTGGTATAAAATTCATTAGGTATTCAACTTGAAATAATGACGCTATCCCCCTAGCAAAAGGTTATGCACAACCCTGTAGGTGTGTGGGTTTGGGTGCGGATGTGGGTGTGTGGGTGGATGTGTGGATGCGGGCGTGTAGGTGAGGGGGGATGTGAGTGTGGGGTGTAGATGTGTGGATGTGCGTGTGCGTGCAAATTTTGGTGTAGTTCTTCTTTTGATTGATGCATACACCCACACTCACACCCATTGTCAACATTTTAAATAAGCATGACGTGTCTATACGATAAAAAAGATATGAACATCGCATAGGATTTCAAAAATGCAGAGAAAGGGTGTGAGATGGGTGTGGGTGTGGGTGCGGGTGTGGGTGTTGGTGTGGGTGCGGGGTGTGGGTGTGGGGTGTGGGGTGTGGGTGTGGGTGTGGGTGTGGATGTGGGTGTGGGTGTGGGTGTAGGTGTGGGTGTGGGTGTGGGTGTGGGTGTTGGTGTGGGTGTGGGTGTGGGCGTGGGTGTTGGTGTTTGTGTGGGTGTGTTAGTCGATAGCCACGTGCACCCACACACACCCACACACACACGCACATCCACACCCACACACACCCACACCCACACGCACATCCACACCCACACACACCCACACACACACGCACATCCACACCCACACACGCACATCCACACCCACACACGCACATCCACACCCACACACACCCACACCCTGAAGAGAAAAGTAGAAATTCTGTCATAAAACGCTCTATCAATCTAGCAAAAAAATAGGAAAAAATAAAATAAAATTTGACAGATGCCAACGATGTTCATAAAAGACAGTTATTTCATAAATAATCATTGAAACTATAAAAGGTTTAAGTGTCTCGTCTCAAGATACTGCGAAAGGAAAGGACGAGTTCGTGCACTTATGAATTATAGACTCTAGGTGTTCTTTTCTTCTGAATCAAAGTTTAAGATAATAAAAAAACAGAACGAACTCAAAGTATGCCATTCTTACATGTCCTGAAGAAACCAAAAGGACATATATGATTCATCAAATAAACTAGCGCTGGCAACCATATCTCTTACTTCATCGAGCGAAGAATGGAAAAAAGCAGTCTGTTTGTCGTCCATGTGTATAAAAAGCCACGTTTTTTTTACTTTAACGTTATTTTCTTCATCAATAGTATTGAGGTAAAACGTATATAAAATGTTGACTTTATCTATGGTTCTATTTCTCATTTGCGTTGGTCTTCTGAGTTATTACTTTTTTCTACTACAGCAACTTCATCGATACTTTAGTCGACGTGGTATCCCTACTCCACCTTTCCATTTTTTCTTTGGACATCTGAAAACTTTGTGGAATACTCCGGCTTTTCATCGTCAACTGGAAAGTTGGACAAAGCAATATGGCCAAATATATGGAATTTATCAAGGAACTACTCCTACCTTTGTTGTTAGCGATCCTGATTTTCTTCAGGAAGTTTTTGTCAAACAATTTGCCACTTTTCAAGGGCGAAGAGAAGTTCTCAAAGGTATTGGTGTTCATAACGTATTTTCATCATCGGGTACACCATGGCGTCGGCATCGTCAGGTCATAAATCCAACGTTCTCTACCGCGAAATTAAAAATGATGAGTCCTCTTATCAATGAGTGCATTGATAATCTAATGGAAAAATTAGACGCTCATGTAAAAAATGGCAATGAATTCAATATCTACTTATATTATAAGCGACTGACAATGGATGTGATATGTAAGTACTAGTAATGAGTCTGCGAATTTGCTCCGGTTTACTTGATGAGTGTGGGTTTTGATAAAGAAGAGAAATCTATACTTCGTAAGGTTCGAGATCTTCTATAAAATTTTATAGCTTGCTAGGCCTGTCCAAGGTCGGTTAGCTAAACGTCTGCGCCACATTATAATAGTATGAATATCTTCACAATTGGTCTTATTCAAGCAAAGATAGAAGATGGTTGAGACCTTTTTACCGCCTTGAAATTATATCAGAGTATGTCCAAAAAAACTCTTCCATCTATTGTAATTCGTGAAATTTGCTGATGGATTTTGGAGACTTAATGGTCTCTGCAAGTATTTCTAAAAGAGCTCTCCTTCATTTTTGTCAGAATTCATTAAATATATAATTGAATATAGCGATGACAATTATCTTCTTGAGGATGTAAGTGTGTAGTTATTGATCAACAGAATACCTACACATCTTATAGTCACTTTCAGGATTCTTACGAGAATATCCTAATAGCTATCATTATTGATGATCTTTAGGTCGATGTGCATTTGGAATTGACACTGATGTACAAAACAATCCAGACAATATATATTTCAAAAAAGTGGAAGAACTCTTTACCCACAGTATTAATTCGCGTTGGCTCTTCCGACTTGGCGAACTTACGCCTCGCGTAGCGAATATTCTTAATAAAGTCGTTTTTGGCGCAAACATCGCACGAGTATTAATCAATAAATATCTTATGCCACTAATCTCAATAAAACAACTATATGAACCACCAAATATTTGGCTCTTCAGTCGACTACATCCAATTATCGAGCAGCGACAGCAGACACCTACTTCACGAATCGACCTTTTGCAATTGATGTTACAAGTGATGACTGACGAAAAAATTAGCGTAAATATACTTAAATCTATAGAAGTTAAAAAGTATCTTCTAGTGTAGTAATTTACTTTGAGTATATTACCAGTATCGATAATTTCCAGTAAAGTATCACTTGTTGAAAAGACTACCGAGAAATAGAGATTGTGAGATATCGTATGGCTGAGCAGACTTACCATGTTTCTGAAGAGTGATTGCTTTGTGCTTTTGTAATGGAGATCTGGATAAGAAATTTTCGAGTTTTTTGATTGCTTTTAAAGAGAAAATCATTTATTCTCAGAAAGATCAAACTGACGTCTGGTTGTGGTATTACTCAGTTTTTCAAAGTATTTCACTTTTACTTGACGTAGGAAACTGAGTACAATGAGAATGCACTAGTATATCCATGGTGTTGTTAAAATTTTCGAATGATAGAAAAAATTACATTGAAACTTCTATTACGATCTCTAAGTTGAAATACAGCGAACAATAAAAAGTTTTCCATTCGGTCAAAGAAACTTGAGTTAGTTATAACCTTATTAACTATATACATTTAATTTGCAGGACGAAGTGCAAAACGATGACAAGGCAAACTATCGGCTAACTCGAAAAGAAATAATTGTTAATATCCTTGTTTTTATGGCAGCAGGATATGAAACAACATCAACTGCTCTGGCTTATGCAGCATATGAGCTTGCTAGACATCCAGAAGTTGTCAAGAAACTGCAAGATGAAATAAACCAACTTCCCTTCAACAATGATGATGAATTCGATAAGAAAAGAAAAAAATATTCCGACTATGATTTAGTCATGCAGATGCCTTATATGGATATGTTCATTTCTGAAGTCTTGAGAATGTATCCTATTGGGAATATGTTCATTCAAAGATGTGCCTCCAAAGATACAGTTGTACAAGGAATTACCATTGAAAAGGGCAAGTATACATTTTTATAGTACCCAAGACTTCGATCTTTTATGTATGAGATGATTCACAATAACTGTATCATAATCTAGAAGTTTTCCGTTTTGAATTTTTTCACTTGTTCAAAAACTCTCTTTCGATCTACGACAATTTTATATGGAACTATAAGAACATCTACGTATGAAAATTAGACCTGAGAAGGCAAGGTACTTCCTATTTTAGCATCGACTTCCTGAGAGTCTTATCAGATGGTGTCTTCTTAAATTACATGTCTTTTATTTTTTTTAAGGTAGCTTAGTGCATGCTGATGTCTATTCAATTCATTATGATCGTGAACTTTGGGGTCCTGAAGATCCATACGTTTTCTTTCCTGAACGCCATAAAATAAAACGTCATCCAATGGCCTATTTGCCATTTGGAGCAGGTTCACGACATTGTATTGGTATGCGCTTTGCACTGATGGAGATAAAACTTCTACTAGTACAGCTACTTCGAAAGTATACGATTCTGCCTGGTGAAAACCTCGAAGGCAAATTTAACATCGGTGAACGAACGGCTATCACACCCGAAGAAGTATGGGTCAAACTGGTAGAAACAAGTGATTGAGATACAATAATACAATGCTTATCAACCTAAAATTGTACTTTTATTAGAATGTAGGTTGCATAAATCGAAAAGAAATATTGAAGATTCTTCAGAAAAACTCTGTTTTAAAAATGTTTATAATATTTTTGTTATTTTTTGTTCGCATCTTAGTATGTAGTTGTGGTTTGGAGGGTGTGGGTATGGGTGTGGATGTGGCTGTGGCTGTGGGTGTGGGTGTGGGTGTGGGTGTAATGAATACCCACACCCTGCCCACACCCACACGGACACCCATCCACACCCACACCCACACGGACACCCATCCACACCCACACCCACACGGACACCCATCCACACCTACACCCACATGGACACCCATCCACACCCACACCCACACGGACACCCATCCACACCCACACCCACACGGACACCCACCCACACCCACACCCACACGGACGCCCGTCGACACCCACACACACCCGGACACCCGCCGCCGCACGCCCAGA